ACAAATGTTCTCACATACTCTTATGTACTTCTAGGTGTAAAAATATTTCATACATATACTTTTAAAGCCTTGAAATAGAATGGGTGCAGAGTAAGCAGGGATGTGAGTGGAACTAAGGTAATAATGGTGATGTTCTAGTGTCAGAGACAGTTCCAAGTCCTTCTTCCACTAAGTTCATAAGCAAGTTAATTTTTGGACTGTGATTTTCTTATCTGTAAAACATGAATAACAAATTTCATAAAGCTGTCATATATCTACAATGCCATATAGCAGACATTCAGCTAAAGGTAGTTTATTTTAAATATGCAGTTGAAAGCAAAAACCTACAGGGAGAAAGGGGAAGGGGTTTGGAATAAAATGAAATTCATACACCTGACCAGAATTACAGAAGAATACACCTCACTTGACGGAGCAGTCAATCCCTAATTTTTAAGGCGCAATGACAGACTGTAGGTTAAGAATCTAGATTCCTTCGTTCGGTTCAAAGGGACCAGGGTCCTAAATTCCCTTAACTCTATATATATGAAAGCTAACTTTATTAATTTTAAAATGCAAAACCTCCTTTTCACGTATAAATGGCACCTTTTAACTCAAGCTTTTCTCCAACGTACAATGTCTCCTAAAGAGAGAATAACAATCAACTTGAGCATAAGGTTCCTTTTTCTTTCCATCCCTTCTCGGCCAGCAGTCCATGGTGGATGTTTTCAGAGTGCTACAGCCCCTGATCTGAAGACCAGTTTCCTTCATCACTGAACCACTGATGAGGGAGGCTTTACAATCCAAGAATAATAAAAAGCAGATATGAAAGCACAGCTTAATCATTTTTATTATCTACCAACTCTCCGTTTACTGAATGTCTCGGGCAATGCTCTAAGCCTGTGAAGACTCTCATTCACAATCTTTCCACAAGATTGAGATCTGGAGTCAGTTCTTCCAGGTAGTTAGAATAGTCAAGACTCAAAAATAATCTAATTCCAAAGCCCACACACTTAATCAGGAAGCTAAATTTACTATAATGTGCTTCAGAAGCTAGAGAGCTTTGCCTCCTGGCAAGTGAAAGTTCCCACACCATTAGAGAGAGGAAAAGCACTATGTACAAATACGGTCACCCTTTTTGGTGCTTAGTTAAGTATTTTGTTTTTATGGTATTTTTTAAATTAAAAGGACTTCTTACAGAATATTCACAATGATAATATGGAGCAGAATCATGCACAAAAAGCCTGGGTTCACCATTAAAATAGCTCTGCCTCTGAGCAACACCCAATCTCTCCAGGACTTTGTTTACTTATCACAACAGAAGCGTATAGACCAGATCTAGTCTTTTTCAGCTACAAAGTTCAATATATTTTAACATATTACATTTTTAGAGATTCTTTGGAGGGAAGGGAGTGGAAAACACACAAACAAACAAACAAACAAAAAACCCAGGCAGCCCTTCTTTATATATTCCCAACTTTTTTATTACCCATAACAGAAACTACTCATTTTCCATCTTCCAACCCCTGGTAATGATTAATGCTACTTTCTGTCTCTATAAATTTGCTTCCTCTAGATACCAAATATTTTAATGATTCACTCATGTAGCATATACCAGAACTTCATTTCTTTATGGCTGAATAACATTCCAGTGTTTGTGATATTCCATTGTTTGTTTATACTACATTTGGTTATCCATTCATTTATTGATACTTATTTTGAACTAGTATTATAAAAGGCATCTTTTAAAAACCTTCCAGTGAGCAAATGAATCATTATATTTTTATCTTTTGTTTAAACATACTCAAAATTAATCTGTGCTACCAAGACATTGTATAGTTGGCTGTAAATATGCCACAAAAAAAAAAAAAACAACATTAAGCGGGCACTTCCATACCCTTATCTAGACTTTGTTATTTGAGAATATGAATGTTACTGTTCTTACGTTACCATCGGGGCAGTCCCATGTGTGGCAGAGTGGAACCGTGCCCCCTGGGGCTAATGTATGGGAAGGCCTTTCTTCTGAGACACCTCTGGGTGGGCTTGAAACTCCACCCCAGGTTTCCCAAAGCGGGTGTCCCCTGAGGGGTGCCAAGTCAGTTCAGGAGAGCTGCAAAAGCAGATACCTGCACTTTATCCTTGATTATGGACAATAGTACAAACAGTTTTTGTTGCGGGGAGGGGGGGGGGGGGACTAATTTTTTTTCCTGAACACTTTGGGAATCTATGCTCCAACCTTTCACTTGGCAATCAAACACATAATTCTCACCTTCCCATGCCAGAGACCCAGGCTCAATACTGTTACTATGATGTTCAACAGATTTCAGACTGAGACGAACCAAGGGAGAAAGGTGAGCCTGTTCCCTTCTGTAAAGATTTTACAGCCTTGGAAACCTTGTAAAGCATCACTGAGTAAAAATCGACTTTACAGCAGTGAGGCTGGTGTCTTATTTTTGTGTATGTACGTGTGTTGAGTAGAGGGTGATTTCATTGTTCTTCACATTTTAAAATGTTTTACATACTGAAATACAAGTAAATCTTGCATTAAGTTAATTACAGGCACCATTATTTTATCGTTACAGTTGTGTTTAAATCCTTCAACCAGTAATACAAACTAGTTACATTATTTTTAAATAATTAAAGCATGCTTATCATTGGCAAGCCATGACAGCGTGGAAACAGACCAAGATCAAAATCCCAATATTATGTTTGCAGACAATTTAACTTATTTCACCTCTTTGGGCTTTCTCATCTAAGAAACACCACCTCAATCCGTTGATCTGTTAAGAATTAGCATCAATGTATAAATGAATTAGCAGTTTAGCTGTTAGCAGCAATAATTGGTAGCAAATAACCTCAATACTTTTATTAAGTCCTCACAACTAACAATTCACCTAAGAAATCTAACTTATACAATAACTCAAACCTACTATAAATTTCACTTTCAATCAATTTTGAATCTTTAACTTTAAGCTACCTAATTTATGCTAAGATTTAATAATTAATACTTTGTTATAAAAAGATAAATTAAAAAGTAAATTTCCACTCTTAGATTAATAAAAAAGTCTACGTGGTCCTAGTTTATTTCATGTACATAACATAGCATGATTTAAAATTCAAGCCATCTTTATGCCCCAAACATCCAATTACAATCCAGAAAAAGCACAAAGCCAAACCCACTGCCATCAAGTATGAGGTTTCTGAGGCTATAAATCTTGCCCAGAAACAGACAGCTTCAGTGCTCTCCACAGGGTGGCTGGCTGGTGGGTTGGACCTGACTTTAGGGTTAGTTCTTCAATGTTACAGGGCAGTCCCAAGAGGCAACCAATGTTACCAACGTCTCAAGAAACCCCTTTGGATTCTTTGGATACAAATGGTCTCTTACATACTATTTTGCATCTTGCTTTTTAAAAAGTAATCTCGGAGGTTATAGTTTAATTTAAAAACACACTCTTAAGAATAACTGTTTAAAAGTCTTAAGACCAGAATTCCAGTTATCTTTACCCATAAAAGAAAATAAATCTTTAAACATGAGTATATGAAATGAACTTTGATAAATTAAGCTATTTGCACAAAATGGCATAATAAATACCTGATTACTTTAGGAGCTACTCACAACACTGTGCTCACTTAGAAAATATAAAGGAAATACACTTTGGTGGCACAGTGGGTTATGAGTTGGGTTGCTAACAATAGTTCTAACCTACCAGCTACTCCATCCATAAAAGATGAGGTTTTCTACTGCTGTAAATCTTGGAAACACATAGGGCCAGCTCTCTACTCTGGCCTAGAGTTACTGAGGCAGAATCACCTCGATGGCGCTGAGTTTGGAAGTCCCTCAGTGAGTTGATAATCACATAAAAAGATGGTGAAAGTAAAGCTATTTGTTGGTTATATTTAGTCCTAGATTAAATCGCCTGACCCTTTCCTAAATGTTCTTTGCAATGTACTTTTCTGAAAGAAGTTTTTTAAGGATACTTTGATTTTTAAGGATACTGTTTTCAGAAAAAATAGCTTGTCTGTCTGCATTTCCTGCTTCTTCCTTTGAAATACTATGACACTTACTTGAAGTAAGGTTTCATCAGCCCTCACCTATAAAAGAGCAGTATTATTTTAAAAGTAGTCATTATTATTGCAATATAAGGATTTCTGGCAACCTAAATACTAAGAGGATTATAGTGAAGTGTATTTTGTTTCGGGCATGTACATCCCTACTACAAAAGAGTATGTTTAGCCTGCTGGTAACAATTATTAGCTGCAATTTTTCATTAGTGTATACGAAGTAGCTCGGAATACATCTTATTAAGTAAGAAATCCCAATCACTGTTGCACTAAACAGCAGTACAGACATTTATGACTATATCTGCACTGTACTACAAAAATACCAAGTCATTCTTCCATTCACGGTTTTGACACTTGAGCAAATTGAGACCAGAGTTCATACACATGCTCTGTAAAACAGATCATTACTTATACACTTGCCACATTCAGAGAATTGGCTAGCACTTGCCACTGATGAATAATTTCAAATAATAATCATCCCCCCCATGGCTACACGGAAAGACAGATGACTATTGGAGACTCTGACACATATAAAGCCCAAGTGCTTTCTGCCTCCATCAATAACTTACCATATACTTACAATGCCTACTTCCCAAACTCATTACTAGTGTTGAAGTATCAACATTAAGAAAACAAAAAATTACCAATGATATACTCAGCAAATGGTAGTGCCATCTAGAAAAAAATAATCATTTTAAGTATTACTTTTTAATCTTCCATTGTTAAATTCACCTGATAACACAACCTGATAATTTTGTGGGTTTTACAGTATGAAAAATTTAGCCACTGTCAAGTGTTGAGTCAAATCACTAACGTTTTCAATCTCTTATACAAGTAAGTGTAAGCAGCACGAAAGAACCTAAAAATCGATCAGACTCAAAAATAGCTTGAGATCATAGTTTTGCTGTTTTGTGTGTTTAATCACTTGCGATTTGTGTCTTGATAAACCACCTTCTACTCACCTTAATAAAGAGAGACACCAACCTATTAGCCTGGTGAAATCCCATGGGTTTCCTTGCTTTGTTTGTTTCTGCAATCTCATGTTGCGAATAGGGCTATTTTTCAAAAGTAAGATTCAGGTTAACTATGAGGGACATCATAATGAAGTTTCATGGTACAGCACCACCTGAGTCAACAGAGGTATTGTCTTAGAAGAGACTGCTCTGTAACTTGTCAACAGTATTTTGAAACAAGCTTACTCACACACCCTACTATCGGTTCCCAGTTAAAATATTTAAATGCCGGGCATAACGCGAACACCTCCCATCGACCTAGTCGGAGACTTGAGCTGTCAATAGTCGATAAAGAGGTCCAGAAATCGGGGGTACGTGGGAGTGTGCTGATGATCTCACGTGGGATTGCTTCCCCAGCTCGGGTTAATTTCCTTACACTTCCCCCGCCCCCACACACACCAATAAGATAGTAAACCATTACGTCTCCCCCTCCTCTCCCAGCACCCAGCCGAGAGGGAGCAACTCTGCAGGGCTTTCTTTCTCCTTTCATCCATACCTAGGCGGTCTCGTGCCTCGCTCCGGAAGGGCAGGGCAGGGAAGGCCTGACAGCCAAGAACCCAGGATACCCCGAAATGCGGGGGCCTCTGAGCAGCCCAGCGCCCGGCGGATCCAGTTACCACCTTCCCCTTCCCCCGCCCCCGCGGCCACTTCCCGGGTTTTCTCCGGCCCGGCCTGCACCGTCCCCATCAGCAGCCACACTCCCAGTCGCGGCCACCGCCTCGGGGACCCGACTAGGGCTCGCCCCCTCCGAGAAGTGCACTTCTTCCCCAGCCTGCTCCCCCAAACGTGTTCCTCCCCAGATCTCCCGCCGGCAAGATCGTCCATCCCAGGGCCCAGGGAGGGGACAGGGAGGAGGAGGGGAGGAGGCTGCCTCCCCACCGGCAGGAAGGCGGCCGCGGGGCGGGCCACCCCGGGGTGACCGGGGACCTCGGGGTCGCCGCTGCAAGGGCCCTCCCACCCCGGGCGGAGGTGGGGGATGGCCGGGAGTTCATTTCTGACCTCCTCGCTCTTCAGCACTTCCTTGAACTCCCGCTTGATTCGCTGCACCGCGATGTTGGCCATGTCTCCGCCCGCAGCTGATTCGTACCCGCCTCCTCCGCCACCGCTACGACTAACGCCACCGCCGCCACCTCTTCCTCCACTGCCTCCTCCTTCGGCGATTCAGACCCGAGCACACGAATGCTGCCACTGCCACCTCGGCCGCCGCGCTCGCCCCAGTGTGGAATCACCTCCGCGCCCGGCCACCAAAATGGCGCCGGGTCCGCGCATGCGCAGAGAGTGACCCGGCCGGGCGGCGCAGCCGCTCCCGTTGTAGCCCCCGCTGTACCTCCGCCGCGCTGCCGCGCCGCGCGTCTCCCCGCGTGACTCCGCCCCGTGCGTCTCTCCGCGCGACTCCGCCCCGCGCGTCTCCCCCGCACGACTCCGCCCCGCGTGACTCCGCCCGCCGGCGTCTGCGCCCGGGAGGGTGGGGCCGGCCTCGGGTCTCTTGCTGTGCCTCCGCCACGCTGCACCGCGCCCGGCCCGCCGGGGCCTACTGGACCAGTCCTCCGACCCTCACTCAGTTTGACCCAGACCAGGAGCCCCGGACCCACACCATCCCTTGGCCGGTGCATCTCGCCTATGAAAACACTAGATCCTGCAACTCAGTCCTGCCCAGTTCCCGTTTCAGAAAATCCACTGCGGTCCTTTTTGTTCTAAAATCAGGCACAGCATAAGGTGCCACTCCGATTCCCATCGGTACTAGAAATTATCCCTTTAAGGATGGTCCCACGAGTGCATTTGAGATGGATACTCCATGGAAAGGCCTGAGGTGAGCTTAGAAGCAGATGTTGAGTTCTTTCTGGTGGGTTTTTTTCACTTATTTTTTGTTGTTCAGGGTAATGCACAGCAGAACCTAAACTAGCACAGACTTATCTTTTTGATCGGCTACATAATTAATACCGAGCTGTGGAACTAAAAAGGTGGTTTTCAAACTTGAGTGTGAATCAGAGTCCCTTGGAGAGCTTGTTAAAACGCAGGTTGCTGGCCCCCATCCCTAGAGCCTGGGGGTGAGCCCGATCATTTGCATTTCTGAAAAATTCCCAGATGATGTTGGTACTGATGGTTCAGGCACCAAGCTCCCTAACGTTTATGAAATTAAAGTGGAAACCCAAGAAGGAAACTCCTGGAGGGAAACACTGAGGACAGCGCCCGATTCATGAATGAATGAATGAAGATTCGGTCAAACGTTTTAAATGGAAAGGAAGTTTGAAAGGCAATTGAAAAGTGGTTTCTAAAATTTAGAGTAAATAAAATAGTTTTGATGCTGAGAAGTACTTTGAATAAAGCAGTTTGGAATGAATAATAAAAGGTGTTCATTTAGGAGTTTATATTCATACACTTCCTTCACCTAACCGATAAGTAAAGTACTCTGTTATAAAAAAAATTTTTTTAACTCACAAACACACTCAATGACATTTGCATAAGCTATTACAAAGTTGGGAGCCAAAAAGGAGAGCCTCGCTAGAGGTGAATCATATAGCCGAGGGGGGTTTCTTGAATGGCCCAGAGACTTTTTTATTCCAGCTCTCCTCATATTAACCTATAATCTCTTCATCAACCAGGTTTCATCCTCTGCAAAGCAAGGAAGGCTGGATTAAATGAACTCTTCCAAATCCTAAGAGTTCAGGATTCGAAAATATCATCCCAAAACATCGTTTCCCTGTGTGAACTGATAGAAAATTCTAAAAAATCTTCTAGCAGAGCCCCCTAGTGGGCCTAGAGAAACCAAATATATACAAGTACGTGGGTCACAGTACAGTAATCATGTAACTCATACCGAGCTATGTGTATTTGTGCCAGAACTAAAATATATATATCCTTTTGAAGTGTGAAAAAAATAGAATACCTCTATTATCTTCATTTGGTTGCCAATCCTGGTACTGGGACTTCAAAGAAACTTGCTCTACTGAAGTCACAGGGAATTGGGTTAGAAGGGCCTAGGAATTTCCTTGGGGGAAGGGGCCTTAGTAATTTTTAAACGCACATAATCATTTAGTTTCTAGGGATTCAGTTTATAGTCCTTCCAGAGAATAAAGCAGCTGCATATTAACTAATAAAAGTCAATCTGCAAGAAACATTTTTTTTTAACAAATGAAACGCAGAAACTTTATTATAAACAAAAGTAACAAGGTAAAAATTCAACAGGCAATTTACTTATACTCAAAAAAACTAAGGAAATTGTGTCTTAAACACCTTATAGTAATCTATTTGCAGTTACATTTAACTGAGCTTTGTTGCTGTGGAGAATACAGCTCATGCACAGGTGTGGACAGAAGATTTGTACATCTTTCAAGTATTCACTGAATACTACACCATATATACACATAAACATTAAACTTGAAGATTTAATTGAACATCCCTATATAATCTTCATTTTTGTTGTTCTTTTGGAAGCGGTCGTCTAAAGAGAAGAATATGTGGTTCTGGCTCATGAATCGTGTAATGTACCCAGCCTAGACTTTGTTGAACACCAAGTCTCCTCCACTCCTCTTCGGACATTAGATGGGTTTTGGGTACTTGTTTGGAAAGTTCTCTGGGCAACATCACATGCCGGTACTCGTAATGTTCATCGAAGTACTTGTCCGAATAGTATATTTGCTTGTGAGCCATCTGGCCGGCAGCCCAGCGGGACAGGTCGGTAAGAAAGGCACAGAGCAGGAGCAGCAGCACGGGAGGGCCCGGCAGGTAACAGCAACCACGCAACTCGCAAGAAACATTTTAAGTGAAAAAAGGACTATGCCAAATGTAATGAGATATCCTAGATGGAAAAAGATGTTGGATCCTGAAATGAAGAAGACATTAATGGAAAAACTGGTAGAACCAGAAGAAAGTCTGCAATTTAGTTAATAGTATTGTTTCATTGTTAATTTCTTGCTTTTAATATGGTACTATGATTATGTACAATGTTAACATTAGAGGAAGCTGGATAAAAGGTCTATAGTACAAGAATCTCATTAGTAAATCTAAAATTATTCCCAAATAAAAGATAAATTTGGGGGAAAAAACCCTATGAAGTCCATCTTGTATATAGCATGCCATGATATGTGTGGAAGGAGGAAGAAAGATGATTGCACATATCTGAGCTGATAGGTGCCGACTCCCGTGGTGGTGGTCATTAAAGGGCATCCAGTCAGTTCTGACTCAGTGCCTCTATGTGCACCAGAACAAAACATGCCCAGTCCTGCACCATCCTCATGATCACTGCTGCCAGGGGGCTTCACAAAGTTGATAGGAAAATGAAATTGCAAGACAATGGAATTTTCCCACAAACTTTTTGAAGCCCCCTCGTTATAAACACATTGTCAATTCGAGGTCAATCCATTGCTTGAGAGTCTTCCTCTTTTTCACAGAACCTCTACTTTGTTTGGGTCCTCCTGATAACAGGCTCAACCACGTAAGGCAAAGTTTCACCATGCTTGCTTTCAAATATCATTCCTCCTGTACTCCTTCCAAAACTAATTTGTTCATTCTGGCCATCTGCAGGACACATGCATATATGATGCTGTGAATCTATAAAATATGGAAAGGAACATAAGAAACTGACAAGAGTGTTTATCTCTGAGAAGGAAATCTAGAGACCTCAGGAATACTATGAAAAAGATTTTTTACCATGTGCCCTATTGTATATTTTACCTATTCAATAAGATAACTTTATATATGTTTAAATATATATTTTTAACAGTTCACTGTCATCAAGTTGATGCCAACTCATAGTGGGCCTGTAGGACAGAGTAGACCTGCCTCTTTAAAATGTTGAGACTGTGACTGTTAATAACAGAAAGCCCTGTCATTCTCCCACAAAACAGCTGGTGGTTTCAAACTGCTGACCTTGCTGTTACAAGAGCAACTCTTAAACCGCTACGCCACCAAGACTCCTTTATGTATAATATAGTACTGATTAATTACCTCATTTATGAATTAATTACAAATTCAATGAATGCCTATGATATGCCAGGCATGATCTAGGTCTTGAGGGGATTATCTGTGAATAAGGAAAAACAAACAAACATAAAAACTTTGTGAAATTTACATTCTAGTGGGAGAGAGAGAATAAAAGTAATTCCAAAGTCTGCAGACCCTAGGAAGGGTCCCTGAGATGTTTTCAGGGGTCTGTGATAGCAAACTTCTAAAATACTACTATGACATACACGTTTTGCCTTTGCACTATAATGACATTTGCAATGGTGATGTAAAAGCAATGGTCAGCAAAATTGATCTAAAATTCCTGTACAAGGAATAATTCTTCTATGCCACATATCAATTTAAATGCCAATTGCACGTTGGAATATCTTTTATAAAGCAATAGATGTTATTAATTTTATTAAAACCTATGAAGATATTTGAGTAAATATCTTCATAATATTCTGCATGACAAAATGGGAAGTATACATAGAATACTTAATTTTCAAAACAAAGCACAAGAGACAGTATTTGGGATTGGGAGCCAGCCAATCCCAACTACATGGACAGCCCCATTCCCCCCAGAAGAATTTACTTCAGAGGACAGCACTGACGCTACAGCTCAGGGAGAGGGACATGTCTGATCAGAGTGCACAGAAGCAAACGAAGGGGGAGGAAGAAAGAGTGGCGCACATCCTGGCCCACCAAGCCCTGAGGACCATATTCCTGCTCAGAGCAGCCAATGCACAAAGAGGACCATAGGGCCAGCCCCACCATGAGACAAGATGTCCCTCACTGACCCATAGCACTATGGGGAACAACACTGGAAAGAGAGTGTGTGAATTGTGCCCGATCTGATCCTACCACACCAAGGCAAAACAACAGACAGCAAGGGACCAGAGCAACGAAATCCTTGGGGAATACCAAAAATAGACTGTGGGGCCAGAGCATGGGACCCCATCAGACTTGACCTGAAAACACTCCTAAGGGTCAACAAACAGACCTGGAACTATTTACAGGCTTTTCTGTCTTTTTTTGTTGTTGTTGTTGTTTTCTTCTGTTGCTTTTTTTTTGCTCTGTCTTGTTTTTGTTCTTATTACTATCTCTGCATGTATAAGATAGAATAGGAGGAGAAAACAATGGGACCAACAGTTCTGGGGGACCCAGGAGAGGAGGAGGCTGGTGGGGGGCTGGGGGGCGGGCAGTGGGTGTAAACAAACCAAAGGACAAGGGAGCAGCAAGTGATCTAAAATTGATGGCAAGGAGGGTGTAGGAGGCCTGATAGGGCTTGATCAAGGGCAATGTAACCAAGAAGAATTACTAAAGCCCAAATAAAGGCTGAGCATGATAGTGGGACAAGAGGAAAGTCAAAGGAAATAGAGGAAAGAACTAGGAGGCAAAGGGCATTTATAGAAGTCTAAATACAGGCATGTACATATATAAATATATTTATATATGATGATGTGGAAATAGATCTATGTACATATATTTATAGGTTTAGTATTAAGGTAGCAGATGGACATTGGGCCTCTACTCAAGTACTCCCTCAAAGCAAGAAGACTGTTCTATCAGCCTGGCATTCCATGATGCTCACCTTTCTGACATGATTGCTGAAGACAAAGTGGGTGCATAATCAAATGTGGTGAAGAAGTTGACGGTGCCTGACTATCAAAAGATAGAGCGTCTGGGGTCTTAAAGGTTTGAAGATAAACATGCAGCCATCTAGCTGAGAAGCAACAAAGCCCACATGGAAGAAGCATACCAGCCTATGTGATCACGAGGTGTTGATGGGATCAGGTATCAGGCATCAAAGACCCAGAACAAAAAATCATATCATTGTGAATGAGGGGGAGTGTGGAGTGGGGACCCAAAGCCTATCTATAGGCAACTGGACATCTCCTTACAGAAGGGTCGCGGGAAGGAGATGAGCCAGTCAGGATGCAGCATAGCACCAATGAAACATACAATTTTCCTCTAATTCTTGAATGCTTCCTCCCCACGCCCCACTATCATGACCTTAAATCTATCTTACAAATCCAGCTAGACCAGAGCATGTACACTGGTACAGATAAGAGCTGGAAACACAGGGAATCCAGGGCAGATAAACCCCTCAGGAACAATATTGAAAGTATCCCAGGAGGGTAAGGGGAAGGTTGGGGGAGAAATGGGGAACTGATCACAATGATCTATCTATAGCCCCCTCACAATAGAAGAGTGGGTGAAGGGAGACATCGGTAAGTGTAAGACATGAAAAAATAATAATAATTTATAAATTATCAAGGGTTCATGAAGGAGGAAGGGTGGGGGAGGGAGGGGAAAACATAAGAAGCTGATACCAAGGGCTCAAGTAGAAAGAAAACGTTTTGAAAATGATGATGGCAACAAATGTGCTTGACATAATGGATGGATGTATGGATTGTGATTAGAGTTGTACGAGCCCCCAATAAAAATTTTTTTTTTTAAAGAGAGAGAGACCGTACTTGAGCAGTTCTCTGAGTTAGGAGCTAAAGTACCCACTTTTTCATGAAACACTACTTTTTCTTTTTTGAGTTTTGGATTTTTTATTTTTTAATCATTTTATTGGGAGCTCTTAAAGATATCATAACATTCTGTAGTTCCATCGCATCAAGCAGTATTGTAAAGTTATAACCACAATGAGTTTCAAAACATTTTTTTTCTTCTTGAACTCCTTGATATCAATTAGCTCCCCTTTATCCCCTTCCTCCCCAACCCTACCCCTACCCCACCCCAGGAACCCCCTTTTTTTGGTGGCCTCTTACACCATCTGATATATCCATTCACATACAATTCTGTTGTTCACTCCCCTCCAGTGGGGTTATACAATCATCAATGCTATCAGCTCCCCCTTACCTTCCCCCCCCCCACTTCCCTTTCCCTCAGGGAACCATTACTCCTTTTACAGTGAAGCACTATTTTTACTTGCAATTAAAATTCTGCTGAAGATAATTCAAAAACAGTTGTAGCAGTATATAGACAGGAATTCAACCTGGATACAGAAAAGGACATGTCATGAGGGACATCACTGCTGACCTCAGAGGACCTCAGTTGAAAATAGAGAATACAAGAAAAATATCTGTTTATGTTTTATTGGCTATGCCAAGGCGTTCAATTGTGTGGATCATAAAAAACAGTGGATAACATTAGGAAGAATGGGAATTGCATAACAAACAGTGGATAACATTAGGCAGAATGGGGAACTGCATTGTGCTCATGTGGAACCTATACATAGACCAAGAGGCAGCTATTTGAAGAGAATAAGGGAATACTCCATAGTTTAAAATCAGGTGTACACTGGTACAGTTAGGAACTGGAAATACAGGGAATCCAGGGCGGATGATCCCTTCAGGACCAGTGGTGTGAGTGGCGATACTGGGAGGGTAGAGGGAGAGTGGGTTAGAGAGAGGGAACCGGTTACAAGGAACTATATGTGACCTCCTCCCTGGGGGATGGACAACAGAAAAGTGGGTGAAGGGAGATGTCGGACAGGGCAAGAGATGACAAAATAATAATTTATAAATTATCAAGGGCTCATGAGGGAGCGGGAACCGGGGAGGGAGGGGAAAAATGAGGACCTAATAACAGGGGCTTGGGTGGAGAGGAAATGTTTTGAGAATGATGAGGGCAATGAATATACAAATGTGTTGTACGCAGTTGATGTATGTATGGATTGTGATGAGAGTTGTGTGAGCCCCTAATAAAATGATTTTTAAAAATCAGGAAAGAAATACATTATGGCTATGT